CTGTGTTGCCAAAGAAGGGGGGCTGAACACCTTTTGCAGAGAATAACTTTCATTTACTCCATTTATTTGCATCAAATTCATTAAAACATGGTGCGAAAAGTGCAAGTGGAAGTGTTTGTTGCGAATAACTCTTAAATTAATTAAAAATCTTAACTCCCTCCCCTGGATTGTTATTGTTCGCTTTAAAACGCGTCGATTGATACCACTCTCGATTTGTTCATTCCATTTTGACCTGGTTCCCGTAAAGTGCACTACTACCCTCTTTTGAAATGTGAGAGTTTTTAATCTCTAGAAAATAATTTATGCAACCTCACATATCGGTTTTGCATTTTGTTGATACGCGGTTTTGTACTGTAAACGACGATATAGGTGTAATAGACATACCGACTATTATGGGATCCGTCAAGGAATTCTGTAAAGTTTTTGTCAAAACTTAGCTCGTGATTCCCCGCTATGACTAATTTATGTTTATGAGGAAGTGTAGCAATCCAGTTATTAAATTCAATAACTTCTTGAAGTCGACCACATTTAGTGAAGTCACCGGCATGAATAAATATATCGCCATTTGGTATATCAAACTTCAAATAAGAAGTTAAGGAATGTGTATCACTCATACAAACGACACGGACCTTTGTGGAATCCTTTTCTGCTAGCGGTCGACTTACTGATATTTTAACAACAGGTTGAAATTTTGAAATCTCTTTCCATGCTGCCGTCGGATCGTGTGATAACGGGTGAACAGTTATTAGATTCTCCATTTTTCCTTTTACGAAGGCCCTAAAGTAGCAGGCCAAATAAAGCGCCGTCTACCCTAGAAATCTTCAAAATACATTCCACCTTAGGAGCAAACCTTTCAAAAACCAATTTATAAATTAATGGATCCGCTTTGCTGTTTGAAAATTAAGGTTGCTCCCTTATTTTAAAAAAAACTTACTTGGTGACACATACGACGAACTAGTGGTTTGTGTATGATCTAGAGGACATCAAGCTACCTCATTGTCCTTTTTTCAGAGCCTATAACTCTATGGGCTGGTTTCTCCAACTCAACTTATTTTAGCCAATTTTTTAGACTTAGTCAAGAATAAGCTGTGTAAAAAAGTAGGCTAACTTTTGACTTAAGTCCAAAAATGGCTAAACTAAGTCGAGTTGGTGAAACCAGCCGTATGGCTTTTTCGGCGAGTGGTGTTTTTATATAGATTTTTGTATATTGTCAGGAATACGATCGATACAAGCAAATCCAATTACTTACTCGATACTAGAGGTGGGTAACTCAACTCAGAGTTGAGTTATTGAGTTGATTCCTATAAGTGAGTCGGTAACTCAGACTCCCTGTCCAAAAAAAATGTAACTCAGTAACTCAGTTGATGCCGTAGGGCTCACATGAATCAATTGAATCATAGTGGCTCATATTTGTCCATATATCTCTCTCGCTTCGCCACAGTGTTTAGCATGGCAAAGTCTTGCATTTTGTTTTTGCACGAGGCGAATTTATACAAGGTGGTGGCAAGAATACAACAACAACAACCACATGTATTTTGTATTGCGGGTGTTATGTCAAATCTCACAAATTCTTATAATTTCGTTTTCTTTTTAGTTTTTCTCGAAATATGTATGTATGTAAGATATATAAAGATGTGCATATCAAATCAATTGCCTTTCCAACCATATCCACATTTTGAAATTCGGTACAATAGGTTTCGAAATATAAGCTTTTGAAAATATTGAAAATTCCACCTTTACCCTCCCCCTAGCACCGCCCTATTAATTTGCACACAAAAAAAATTACACCTTTCAAATCAGTAGAAAGGAGCTGACCACGCCCACTTTAAAGTTTTGTTTTATCTCAACGGCCGCTATACCGCATCTATGCCTCAAAACGAGTCTACGATACGAATGAGTGTAACATACAAAGAGTCAAATGAGTTAGTTGAATGAGCTGACTCCTTAAAGTGAGTTGGAGTCATTGAGTCAACTCCTATAAATTTGCTGAGTTACCCACCCTTACTCGATACTGTTCTCAATTTACCAAGTAGTTTTTTACTCGATACTTTTTACTGCGATCCAAGTAGGTATCGAAAAAAAAGTATTTGTATCGGAAGCGCAAAATTTATTGGCGCGTATTCATAGTCCAGCAACTAACTGCCGTCCCTAAATTGGAGCGCTAAGCGTTGCGTTATCCATTGTCGACGAGTGTCAGCGCGCGCTATCCCCAAATCAAAGCGTCGTAATTTTTGACGTTTTCTCGGATCCTCTCGTTTTTATTCTCGTTTCCTCTTTCACTTTTTTGTCCTTTCTCTTTCTTTCCGTCTTCCGCATCCAACTTCAACACGTAACGCCCTGTCAAAAATGAAAATTCCATTTGCTCGGCGTTAGCGCCGCGTTATTGTGGGATGCTTCATACAAATTGTATGGGCATGAGCATTTTTGACAGTTGTTTGGCGCTTGACGCGCCAATTTAGGGATGGCAGTAAGTCGAAACTAACAAAGTTGCTACTTAAATTTAAGTACCAACTTAAAATTTACCTCTATTCATAGTCGCATTTCAGACTTCTACTAGGTAGTTTCCAAGAATGATAGAATACAAGATTGCGCCGATCAGAGAGGATTTTTGAGAATAACTTTTGTGTGACGTCACACTGGTGCAATTGCGAGAGCGGAATGCCAAAACGTGAGCAGGAATGGAAGAAGAAGAAAAAATGTTGCAAGGAAAACGTAAACAAGTTGCACAAGTGTGACGTCATGCAAACAATGATTCTGTCAAATTCGTTAAGAGAGGAATAGCGGTCCGAGTTCGGCGCAACCTTTGTATTCTCTCAATCGTGGGTAGTTTCGACTTAGTCTACGTATAGCAAAACGAGTGTGAAATTGTATCGATTTTTCTTTACGATATTTTGGAAAAATTACAGTTTTATTAAATAATGTCAAGTTTGATCATCCGTTTATGTAATTTTTATTTTCATCGGATGATTATGCAAAAGAATAAGGTATAATTTTCTTGTTAATTGTGTGAAATAGCCAGAACAACCGCAGTGATGTGAAGTCGATGTTTTTCGATAGCATGCTTTGAAACATACAAATGAAATGAAATGAAATGTTATGCACAAATTTACTATAAAAGAACTAGCGTGTAACTGACTTATTATTTGAGAATTTATCTAAATTATTCCAATTATAAAATTGTGATGTAGCTTTATTCGAATTGTAATACGCATTTTATTTCATCTTCCGAGTAAAATGGATCGATCTTTGTAAATTTTAATTGGAGATTATTCAATATTATCAAAAGCACCCTCTACCAACTAATTTTTACATATTTCGTCTGTTTTCCCTTAATTTGATAAAATACTTCTTCCTAGTTACGACTTAGTTGCAGCTGCAGCCGAAACTAAATTTTAATTTGGTACTTAGCCAGAAAAGTCGAAACTAAGGCGACTATGAATAATTTTAGTTATGCGCCATTATGCTTCCATGAACGAAAGACACAAGATCACGTAAGAACAAGAGAGTGAAAAAAGTCGACTTTTTTAGCGGGTTCTACGCCATCGTGTTTCACTGGAAAACGAGCGAAAAGTAAACAAAGCAAAGAAAACAACGAAAACCAAAATTATCCAAAATTATTGTCAGCCACTTTAAACGCACAATTTAGGTAAACTGATGCAACAAAATGCTTTAAAATGTGTTGTCATGTTGAATTAACTCTTCTTTACTTGAATAAAAGTGTAAAATAGTGGTGCTCGTGATGTAAACAAACGGTCAGCTGACGAACCCGCTTTCGCAAACTTTTTTCTCAAAACCAGTTACAAATACAACGTCGCGTTCTTACGTGATCTTGTATTTTTGGTTCATGTTATGCTTCAGTATTTTTTTTTTAAGTAAGGCTATCTGCACACTTGTCGTCCAATCATAGTTGCGTTATCGTCTCGCCCTGAAATTTTGAGCCGAGCGCATGCATTTCAAAGGAGATCTGCACACTTGTCGTTATCGGCTAGTTATCGGCAAGTTATCGGCAAATCGTATACTACGTTTATGCGACAGAATTCATGAATTCTTTATTTCATGAATTTAAAAGTGGTCCCATTTATGCATAGTTCGCGAATTCATGAAATAAAGAGCTTTGGAAAAGTGACAACGCACTCGCAAGAAAATAAAAAGTAGGGTTGTGGCTTTTTTGGCCTCCTTTTGAATTTGGAAAACCTGTTGGTACCAGGAAATGAACATAATATGGTTTAATTGGTTTTAGTATATTTTAATTTTAATCCATTTGAATTTATTTTATATTTTAATAAATTCACATAACTTGTCCAGTATTTTAAATCCTGTTTATGCCACTTATGCTTTTTAATCTAAAAACATCATAACCCTAGTAAACAGCTGTTTGTGGAACGTGGCGTTGTCGGACTTGCACTTCACGATTTCATGAAATGATTCCGAATTCATGGTTAACTTTCGTGTATAATTGAATTCATGAAATGGTGTTTATGCAGCCAATTTTAACCGAAATTCATGAAATAAATTCGTGAATTAGCCTACGCATAAACGTAGTAGTAGAAGATGCAGAACCGGATTAGTACGGCACTGTCGTTTGCTAATCGTTGTGCACGCATTGTTTGTTTACATTTTATGGGGGAAAATTAGTGAAAAAGTTTATATTTGCATTAAAATTGCATAAAAATTCGTATATTTTGCATAAAATCTGTGGAAATTATTAAAAAGTGGATAATTGCAATAATATTCAATAAATGTGAGCGTTTTAACTATAAAATATGACGAAATTGTAAAAAGTATCTGTGTGCATGCAGATTTCAGGAAAAGAAAAGAAAAGATATTACTGAAAAATGATGTCTAGAATTGTTGCAGCACAGTATATATTTTAAAAATCGCAGGTTTTTGTAAAAAATTGGTGAAAATATCAACCAGAAAAACAGAAAATACCTGCTCCAAGCCCATGATTCAATAATACAAGGTTAGATAACCTGACAGTTGTCTCGCTCCCGCATTCTGCCTTAACCTGTGTTGCCTTCTATTTTGATTTGTAGAAACTACTACTAAAATACAAGGAGAAATATTGTCTTCGTATAAAAAGTTCAACAGGCAACACAGCCGATATTTTCATCGATTGTTTCATGGAAATTCACTTTCCTATTGGGCAAATTCAAGTAAGTATGGCAAAAAAATCAAAAATAATGGAAATATTTTGAATTACAACAATCATTTAAATATTTATTTGCAGGGTATCGGAGTTATTCATAATTTGTATTCAAAAAGTAGCGTTTTACAACAAGTGCAGCCGTTGCAAGTAAGTTTTGCATTCTAGGATCCCTGTGTATCCGTCCACGTATGGCTGGTGTAGAAAATACAAATATTAATAAATATATTTTCTTGTGAAGGTCAGGATCACTTGGGTGTCCGTCCACGTTTGCTGGTGCATGTATTTTTACCACTGCAGCGTTTGGGTTGGTCAAGTGCAGCCTTTGCATATTTACAAGTAAGTATACCACTCCATAAAAGCGAAAATGGAAATATTAATAAAGATATTTTCTTGTGCTCATTGGGACTGATTGCAGAAAAAAGTACACAACATTACAAAAAATTGACATTTTTAAAAAACGAAATGTAATTAAATTGCGATATTGAAGACATATTTTTAGAGCCGGTTACTCAATGTCCGGTTAACACTAATCTGCGGTTAAACACGTCGATAACAATGTTTAGCCGGAGATTAGTGTTAACCAGACATCGAGTAACAGGCACTTAAAGTTTAACCGATTAATGATTTACAAGACTGATTGGAGAAAAAAGAAAAAAACATTCCACAAAAATTAGATTTTTAAATAACCAAATTTAATTAAATTGCGGTATTGAAGATATAACTTTTAAATGTAGCCAATATAATGATTAGCAAGACTGATTGGAGGAAAAACTAGAAAACATTACTAAAAAATTTAAATTAAAAAAACCCAAATGTAATTCAAATTAAGATATTGAACATGTAATCTTTAAATGCAACAAATATAATTTTTAAAAGATTAATTTATATGCATTAAATCAATTGCATCTTTATTATTTGTATAATCCTTCATATAGTCCCTTTGAATAAAGGATTTGTTTGAATTCCATTAATTTTGTTTAATATATACTGAAATTTCAATGAAACCATGGTTTATTTTGAATATTTGGGAACATTTCTTATTTTATGTGAATATCCATTTTATCATTTTTAATATTTATGTGGCCATAAAAAGTTAATTTATTGTCTATTGTGTAGATCAGTGGAATCTTCTTTATATATTTAATTCAATTTGTATACAAAAACGCATTTCAGCACTACCAGACTACTTACTTTTCCTACTACCTTTTCACAAAAGGAGATAAAATTGTTAACCGCTTCTCTTTCCTTCTGAAATGCAACCTTACAAGGCAGTCGATTGACACAAATGTCAATATTTATCCAACATTGTATTAATGAATCATGCTCTTAGCCCAAAATACTTAATATTTTATATCTAGAGATGAACCATCAAATCCGATAACATTTTACGCTCTTATGATTAAGGTAGGTTTACATGACAAGCAATATTATACTTAAGGCTAAGTCACACTTGACACTTTAGAACAAGTATGTTCAATTATTACATGCTTTTTTTAAATTTTATTTATTTTATTTTATTTTTTATTTTTTTTACAAATTCAGTTTTCCAGGCGGTTTTACTGCCCGACCACTCCTGGTTCTATAATATGTATCAGCATCAGTTGAAGGTCGTATGTCAGTCATTGGAGTGGCTACTTCATTAAATGATTCCGTGCCGGATTCAGCGGCTTTTTGACTAGCAACTGCAACACTAGGATCGCTGTTGCTGTTTGGGTTCTCAATCCAGGCATCTGCCACTGGTTCGGAGTCCGCACAGTCACGCACCTCAGAACTACCCACCGGTGTTTCAGCATTGTCATTAATTGTACGTGTTATATCGGTCCCTACTTGCTTTAACTGTCTGTTCAATGTTATATCTCCTGGATTGAAGTCACGATTGTTCGTTCTAACTATCAGGCGTCGATTGCGACGAAATTGATTCTCAAAGTCGTCTGCAATAATGTAGGATCTACCATTAACTTTTCTTATAACCGACCCATAACACCATTTCCCATTCTTTTTAAATATAATTTTCTCTCCGACGCTTAAAACTGGTAGATCTTTTGCATGTCGATCATAATAACGCTTTTGTTTTTTTTTTTCTAATCTGCCCTGTACTTCCACCTCTTTTAGTTCTTTTCGATGCAATAATGCTCCCGAATTAGGTAGCCGATTCCTATTCAGCCGGCCAAAAAATAAGTGAGACGGGGACAAACGCATACTTGCCACTGGGGTAGTATTGTATTCAAGAATTCGGTACTGAAACCTTTCTAATTCGGATGCCTCATAGCAACGCTTGAGAATATTTTTGGCAATCGCGACGCCCTTTTCAGCGAGACCATTGCTCTGAGGATATCCAGGGCTTGAGAACTTGAATACAATATTTGAGTCGTTTGAGTATTGCTCAAATTCACGTGAGTTGAACGGAACATTATCACTTTTCATTTCAGTTGGGTATCCATAACTACTAAATATCTGATCTAATGTGCCTATCACATGTCTACCCGTTTTTTCCTTTAGCTTACGTACTATTATGAACCCCGAATAGGCGTCAATTAATGACAAAATTCACAGCCAGCATATTCGAAAATATCGGTCGCCAGTCTATGAAAGGGATATTGAGGCGTTTCTTCCTGCAATAAGGTCTCTTTCTGATTATTACGAGTGAATTTTTCACAGACTTTGCAGCTTTTTACTAGTTTCGTTATATCATCTGTCATTCCTGGCCAGAAAAATTGTTGTCGAGCACGAGCTAATGTCTTTTCTATGCCTAAATGCGGTTCATGAACCAACTTACAAATCTTACTTTGCAACTTGGTAGGAATAACCCAACGAAGGTTCTTAAGGAGGAGTTTGTTTTCATAATGTAGCTCATCTTTGTATCTATGGAATGATTGGCTTAAGTTATCAACCTGATGATATCCAGGCCAATCTGATATAACATATCTACAGATGCGGCTATAACATTCGTCCTCGTTTAATATTCGTACATATAAATCGTAGTTCTATTTAGATAAGCAGGCCAGTCGAGTTAACGAGTGAACCATAATTGAGATACCCTGATCGAGTTCTTTGGAATCAGACAATGACGCCCGGAATAAACAATCAGCAATTGCAATTGCTTTCTAGTAGCTGTCGTGCAGTGCGGACGTGTTTTCTTTGCTCGTCTAGTTTTAATCAAAATCTCTACAAATTAGTGTAAGCTTCCCGCTGTGAATTTCGACGCCTCTGGCCTCTGTGGCAAGTGCGACAAGGTTTTTGCGCGTGGAGATACTTGTATCGTGCCCTGCAGTGGATTTTGCAAGAAGTGCTTCCATCGTGCGTGTTGTGAAGGCCAATTTTCGGAATACGATATTGGTTTGCTCATCTCGAACCGCCACATTCGCTACTTCTGTTCGGAATGCATACTCATGCCAGCTACATTAAGCAAGACTCTTGACCTAATATCATCGACACATAAACATGGGTTGGAGTCCATTAAAAGGACTTTGAGACAAAATTCAGATCTTTACACGAGCAACTCAACGCAGTCAAAAATCAAATAGAATGCATAAGCAAAAAAATTTCCATTGACAACAAAAACAACATTGCGAAAGTGCTAAGTGAAATTAATATCCTAAAAGTGGCTGTTGCTAAAACAACAAACTACAATGTAAATGCTTCTAAGAAGAATTCGAAAAGCTGCGCGCCTGCTGTTCAAAATACTTTTGTTGCGCCTGATGATGGCAAAAACACCGCTGTTACTGAAATGACTTTTACCGGCTCTTCACCATCCTCTTTAACATCATCTTCGCATTCAGTTAGTGGTGCTAAGCATATCAACAATAACAATAGCGCATCAGTAAATGCTTTGCTTACTGCGCCTTTGCCTACTGTTGGTGATGCTGCTAATGGTACAAAGCACAATAACAATAAAACTCATTGCTTGCCTGTGGCCCGTAATGTGTCAGTGAATGCTTCTTTGCCTATTGCCGCTGATGTTGTGTTTTTAAATTCATGCGATCCTGTTCCTACGTCTGGTTCGCTCATATCGCCGCTGCCTTCAAACGCTGTCACACAGTTTTCTACGGTTCCTACTTTGCCTATTCAGCTTTTGCCTACTGCCGGTGATGCTAATTCTAATGCTATGCACAATAATACTGAAACTCGTTGCTTGCCTGTAGCCCGTAATGTTTCAGTTAATGCTTCTTTGCCTATTGCTGGTGATGCTGTGTTTTCAAATTCATGCGATCCTGTTCCTACGTCTGGTTTGCTCACATCGCGGCTGCCTTCAAACAGCATTCTACGGATGGTGCTGAAAAATATGAGTGGAAAACGGTACGCAACAAGAAATCAAATAGATATAAAAATATTGTTGTGGGCAGTAATACTAACTGCGACCTCGACGTTGTAATTAAAAAAGAAGTGGTTACACATCTCTTCGTTCAAACCATCCGTGACAGAAGATAAAATAATTTCATATGTTGCTAATCAGTCAGGCGTTGACAGTCAACACCTGGCTTGCTACAAGATGGTTAAAAAGGGTGCTTCTGTCGATAGTTTGCGTAGCCTTAACTTTAAATTTGGCGTTTCACCAGCATTCTACAACAAAATTGCGATTCCAGCTGTCTGGCCGACTAATATAAACGTAAGACCGTTCCGCTTTTTTCAAAAACTGGACAACTCGGAAGCGAACCACTAGCCCAAATCGCAGCTGCAATGATAATAATCTGAAAATCTACTACCAAAATATATCTGGTATTCGAACTAAATGTGCAATGTTTCGCATGTTAACTGCTCATTTGGAATATGACGTATACGTTTTTGTGGAATCATGGCTTAATGAGAGCTTTTTTGATTGCGAAATCTTTGATTCAGACCTTTTCGACATTTTTCGCAAAGACCGTGATGCTGAGAAGACGGGATGTTCTAGAGGCGGTGGTGTTCTTATAGCGGCTCAACGGAGTTTGAAAGCGTCACTAGTAACGCTCACCAATTCTGACTCACTCCTTGATCAGCTTTGCGTCTGTATTCACGGCTCCTCCTGCGATATCCTTTACATATGTGCGTCATACATCCCGCCGAATAGCTCTGAAAGTCTTTACGTTGCACATGCTGATAACATCGTATCATTGGCGTCTGATGTCGTTGGTAATAATCACATTTGTGTTCTTGGTGATTTCAACTTTAGCCGGTTGAATTGGACTCCAAGTGGGGACTCTGCTGCTCTTATAGCTGCAAACGTGAGCTCTCCAACAGAAATTTATATCGTTGATAGCTTTTCAAGTATTGGATTACAGCAAGTTAACTGTATTTATAACCAACTAAATAGACTATTGGATCTTGTTTTTATCAGTGACAATGTAAACTTCACGTTA